CCACTTCTTTCTGCTGCAGGTGTTAGAGTTGAACCCTTTGTGTCTCTCTTGGAAGATGTTCTGCTCCTGAATCAGCTGGGTGGGTCTTGCCTCTAGCCTCTTTGCAGGGAGTTCTGCTGAAGGGTTCCGTGCTGGACCTGCATGCAGCCAGGGTCAAATGAGGATCCCCGGCCCCAGGTCGTCTCACTCACTCGCTGGGCCTGAGCTCTGGGTCTGTTCAGGATCCCACCGCCTGGGTCGTCTCACTCCAGAGATTTTACTTCTTTAACTTAAATTTTTTGTTTATATCTTTTTCAGTTCTGTATAATCTTTTTTATATATGCCTTTCTTTCATCACCTATTTTAACATTAGAAACATTATTATTATTACTATTATTATTTTATAAACATTATTTTTGAGCCTTTAAAACTTAACTTCTGGTTTTGGCTTGAATATTACTGACAGTCTATGCAAGAGTCTATTGCTCGGGCCAGGGAGATGGCTCAGTAGAATAAGTGCTTCCCTGGCAAGCGCAAAAGCCTGTGTTCAATCCCTGGTTCTGAAAAAAAAAAAAAAAAAAAAGTCTATTGCTCAATAGTCTTGAACACTGTTCAACTGTTATCGGGCTGGGGAGATAGCTTGACTGCATAAACGCCTGCCTGGCAAGCGCAAGGTCCCAAGTTCGATCCCCAGTGCTGGTACCGCATGTGCTGCCACCCCAGAACCCCCAGCACGCGGTGCAAGCCCCGAAGAGTCTATCAACTCCGGCTTATGGATGAGTTGTTTCTTTACGTGCTGTGTAATTTTTAGCTGAGAGCTTGTCTTCAGCAGGGATTGCATGTACATACGAAGTAGCCCTGCAAGAGTTTTTATCTTTGCCTAGGCTGGAATATTCTAGAATTTACTCTCCAGTGACATTTAATTTTACTGTTGCATGTATCGGAGAGAGATGGGGTGGCTGAATTTGCCTTTGCTCCTTATTTATGGAGTAAACCCTCTATGTGCCTGCTACTCAAAGTTACCCTTGGGAGATTGGGTTTTTGGGTTTTTTTTTTATGGCGGAACCGGGGATTGAACTCAGGTCCTTGTGCCAGCCCTGGGAGATTGTTTTTAATATTCACTTCTCACTGGATAGTGAAAAATTAGCCTTTTAATGTGAACCAGGTGTATGCGTGCGCTGCTCCACCAGTAGCTCGTTTCCCCTCGTGGTGTAGCGGCGCGCCTCTAGCTGCTCGCGGCCTGCGTCCGCTGGTGCGGGTGGCACAGCGTCCCGTAGTGCCAGGCTGCACGGGAGGCCGCCGTGTGGGCATCGCTCGCCGACTTCCTAAAGGACTGCGCCTAAAAGATGCTTTATTGCCTGTATAAGGTGTTAGTTTCATGCTGACCTTGCCAGCCCCGGAGATTATTGAGTAAAAGAGCCTTTATTTTAGTCTATTTGGTCGGTACAAAAGCGTTTATGCCAGTAAGGCTTGCTGGGCAGGACAGCCTTCATTTCCATTTCATACTCTGGTTTTTCCTTCCTGTAGATTTTGAAAGGCCATGGAGACGAGCATTGCCTCGTTGGGAACAAGTTGAGCTGGGCCGACATACAGCTGCTGGAAGCTGTTCTAATGGTGGAAGAACTCGATGCCGCAGCTCTTTCCGACTTCCCTCTGCTTCAGGTTTGTGTTACCATCGAGTGAAGCCTGAACGTTTGAGCAAAGACTGGAACAAAACATGCCTCAGATCCTTCTCAAAAGAAATTGAAGAACGCAGCTTCAAATACCGTTTTATTCTCTTGGGTTATTTTCACTTGCATACACAGTCAACTGCTAGGAAATGAAACTTCATGAAGGAAAAATTGCTACTTTGGGTTTTAGAATAAAATTTGGTACTTTTTTTTTTTTTAGTGTTTCGAACCTTTCCCGGGATGACGCGAGGCTGTTTGTCTTGCTCATCTGTGGCTCCTACAGACCAGGTGGAGTCCCTTGGCGGGGCCCTCACCGTGCGTCCGCCGAGTGGGAGAGGGGTCTGCAGGGAGGGGACCGTGGGGGGGGCGCGGGGGGG